CCCGGGGGGATGGCCACTCCGCAATCCCTTCTCCTCCATTCTCCTCTCGGGATCTTGGGCACACATGCACACGCGCCCGGCGTGAGTTTTTTAAGCCACCAGGTCTGGGATGCAAACTGCGGTCTACTACATGGGAGTCCAGCGACATGGCCATTACGCTAACTGCTGGTCCCTTATTCAAATTTTTGACAAGGAATACATTACTATTAGGAAAATATGGGGAAGTCCGCAGGTAGAATAGTAGTTAATGGCTGGACTCTCTCATATGGATGCGGTTCTAGTCTTCGATCTTCTAGCTTGCGATTCACGTCAGACAGGTGTGCATGTGTGCCCAGAGTCCCAGGAGAGCAGAGAAAAAGGGATGTGGCGTGGCTATTGGCCCCTCAAGAGTGATTTCTCACTTTTGGTCTCTCTTTTTCTCCAGCAGGTGTACACGTCTATAACAAAAATCTCTCAAAAACAAAAAATGTATTACTGAAAGAAGGGTTAAGAAATGGAAATCTATGGCACTCATCACACTAACTTCTGTGTCTAATTCTACCTTTTTCTTCTTGATATTTTTTTAAAAATTCAAGCTCGTTTCGCCTTCCCAAAGCCTTATCTGATTAAGTTTTCACAATAACTATAAGCAGCTCCTGTCCTCAGAGACTGATGCTCTGAACAATCTTCCCAGAGCACCTTCCCTTGTGATTCTAAATCATCTTTTATGAAAATGTCATTGCCTTTCACCCGAAAAAAATGATACCATCAAGGTCACAGGTTTATGCACTACATCGTGAGATTTGCTGGGGTTTACTCCGGCAAAATCTGGGGCCTGTGTTATTCCATTTCTTGTAAAGACAAACCCATAGAAGATCAAAAAAGAGCAGAAATATCAAACAACGTCTCAGATCACTTCAACTTGCCCTTTGTTCCGTCCCCTGCTGTGACCACAGTCTAACTGTTCCCCATGGTAACAGGTCCTTCCCCATGCTGCATCACTAGAGATACCCGAGCACAGTGGCTGGCACGTGTGTGCGCGCTGCCCTGCTGCTCCCCTCCCTGCCTAAGTCTCAGGACAAGGCCCTGGAAGCATCTCAAGAGCAGGGACCCTGTCCACTTTACCCAGCTCACATTTTCCTCCGTGCCTGACGGTGGGGGCTGTTACCTGGAGTACTGACGGGTGGTGGGGTGGGTGCACACCTCTCCGCTGACATGGTGGAGTCAACCACGCATAATCACAAACGAGTGAAGCTGTGGCTTTGAACCTAGACCTTGCCTCTTGCTCCCTGTCATAGCAAGTCTCAAAACTTGCCATGTGAGTTGCCCTTTAATTCTGGGTGTGAGACCCCAAACTTCCTCCATTTTCCTCCCACAGTTTGAAGGGCCCAAATCTGGGTGTGTCTCCTTCACCCAAAAATGCCTGAACCAGAAAAATAAGACCCCCCCAAAACTCCCAGAGCTTCATAAAAGAACATATCACAGAACTGAATGCTGTGGGCTTTGCCTCAGAAAATGACAAGAAGCTCATCCGTTGAGAGCCTACTGCATACTAAGGGCAGAGGCAAGAATGCGATATAATTTGTTTTATGAAATTCTCACAGAAGTTTAACAATGTTATTCACTCTATTCAAATGAAGAAACTCTGCGCAAGGAGTTAAGTGACTTGCCCAAGGCCATACAGTTCATTATGGGCCAAGCTGGGACTCTAAGAAATCTCTGAGAAACATATCAGCCTCCTGCAGGGGTAGGGGAATACTTCAGTACCCCTCAAACCTCCTAGGGGAAGAAAGTCCCAGCTAAGCAATAAATAACTTGCTGTTTACATAAAGCTAGCTTGTTTTTAAACTGAGAATCACCTTTCCTGTATTTGACCCACTGGCTTTCGAATATAGATTTCTTGCAGTCCTACTCATTTCAGGTGTTCAGGAAAACATAATCAGAAAAGTAATCTTGTGTTCTACTGTGCTTTCAACTTCTAACTATCTTAATCTCGGGTAGTGTAGTTTTCAAAACCAGACTCATCTACTCTTCACAAAGCATGTTCTTCCTCATGCCGAAGATGAGAGACTTGTTTAATATCTAGTTAGAGGGAAATGTCCTACATTGTATCTTTACTTTCCGAGAAGAGTTCTCTCACTTGAGAGGCAATGTATTCTGAGCTAAACTGCTCAAAAGAGGTTCACAACACTGGATTCCCACACAGTCAACCGTGGCTCAAGCTCCAGACCCAGCAGCTTAAAACTCATGCCAGGCGCATGTGCGTGCGTGCCGAAGATCCTGAGAGGAGAAGGGATTGTGGCATGGCCATCCCCCCTGGGGGTTGATTTCTCACTTTCTGTCTCTCAGGTGAATGCATGAGCCCTCTAGGAAAAATCTGTTAAAAACCAAATAAATAAATAAAAATTTAAGAAAAGAGGCTCACAATTCCCAAGGTGATTAGAAGCCATTAAGGGTGCTCCTTCTATAGAAGCGTGAATGCTTGTTGGTGAACTGTTTCCTCTTCATATCTAAATGTGAGTCTAGTTATGCTGGGGCTCGACCAAATAAAATCAAAACGAGTATTAACACTAGATAATATGTACGGAGTGCCATTTATGTGGCAAGCAGTTTTAATTCTCCTTACACTCAGTGAAACCTCTCAACCGTCTGAGGTAGATACACTCTTAACAGGAGAACAGTGAAACAAAGAAAAGGGCAAACACTTGCCCAAAGTGTCACTGACACACACAGAAGCTACAAGAAAAACCCCCAGTGCTAGGTAACTGCACGCTACCCTTTCAGAACTATGGGCAAGCTCACGCTTTTCTGAAGATGAGTTTAAACTGGCCATTATGAAGAGTGCCAGCAGCAGCAAGGCTTTTCATAAGCACATCTACCTGCAGAACGACATACCGGGTACTGGATACAGAAGAGCCCAAGATTTAGCTGCTTATGAAAGGCATTGGAATCCACTGAAGACAGGTTATGCAGAACAATCAAAACAGGACAAACAATATGCTCCTGAATATGTAAGGGTGTCGTCATCTTCACTGTAATCGGTCTTACTAGGGAATTCTTATGTTTGCAGAAAAACTATGATGGGCAGTAACAATATTCTGATGCTTTACTTTCCTTTTGATAAAAAACCCATGTTTTTATATTGCTTTATGAGGAAGTTTTACAAAGTAGGGGAATTAAGGGAAGTGTGTTCCATTCCCCACGTATGTCCTACTGTCATCTCTGTCAAGAGGCCACAGGGCATGGGGCACTGGAGCTGGGGATGGGGTGGGCAGGCCAGTAAGCAGCAGCTGGGAGGGGTGTGAAAGGGGGTTTGACATGATGGGCCAACTGCCAGAGGAAGAGCCCAGGAGAGAAGGGAGATAATACTCAGAACAGAAGAGGGTGATCTCTGAGCAGCGGGGAGAAGTGGATGCCGTCTCTAACAGGGATTCAGCAGCAAGTGAGGAGGCAAAGATTATTCTAAAATGTCAAATATCATTTCCTGGAGCACAGTGACTGAAATAAAGGGAGAAATAAAAGAATACCTGGTTTCGTACACAAAATGATAGCTCTGAGTTCTGGTGCGAAGGGAAGGATTTTCGTAGCTCCAATAGTGTTTGAGGACCTCATCATTTCTTACCTCCTGATACACATCTCCTGGCAACCTCCCAAAGGATGAGTCCAAAACTGTACATGTCGGCCATGATGTACGACTGGAAGTGATTTCTGTTCAAGCTCTCGTCCAACACTTCTGGGGGCATGTAGCGCTTGGTGCCAACGCGAGTGTTGGGTGGAATGTCTACTTCATTTGTGTCGCTGTTGACAAAGTGAAGTGAAGCACTGTTAGCACTAAGCAGGACCACAAGGGACCAGCAGATGCCATAATATTTACATCACTGGACTCCCACGTCATCGACTGTGGTTCGAGTCCCGGATCTGGTGGCTTAAACTCATGCCAGGTGCATGTGTGTAGTTGCCAAAGATCCCAAGAGGAGAATGGAGGAGAAGGGACTGCAGCATGGCCATTGCCCTGGTGGTGGTAGTGGTGGGGGGGTGACTTCTCACTTTCTATCTTTCTGGTAAGCACACATGCTCTATAGCAAAAATCTCTCTTAAAAAATAAAATAGGATCAAAAAATGACAGACACAAAGAGGTGATTCTTAAACAAGGGCTTCAGTGAAAACAAAAATAAGGAAGGAAAACCTTCCAGGGAATAAAAGCATTTCCTTGAAAAACACTTCCTGCCAAAAGTTACATTAATATTAAATATTCACAGGTAAAAACCCAATGAAGAGAAACTCAGTTGGAGGGAAGCTGTAACATAAAACTGCATTATCACGAGACCAGATTTAAACCCTAAACAGCTACTAAATATCCACTATATGTATATATCCAACATCTGCCTTTAGTCCCTTCACATTAGAAAGTCCCAGCTAAGCAATGAATAACTTGCTGTTTACATAAAGCTAGCTTGTTTTTAAACTGAGAATCACCTTTCCTGTATTTGACCCACTGGCTTTCGAATATAGATTTCTTGCAGTCCTACTCATTTCAGGTGTTCAGGAAAACATAATCAGAAAAGTAATCTTGTGTTCTACTGTGCTTTCAACTTCTAACTATCTTAATCTCGGGTAGTGTAGTTTTCAAAACCAGACTCATCTACTCTTCACAAAGCATGTTCTTCCTCATGCCGAAGATGAGAGACTTGTTTAATATCTAGTTAGAGGGAAATGTCCTACATTGTATCTTTACTTTCCGAGAAGAGTTCTCTCACTTGAGAGGCAATGTATTCTGAGCTAAACTGCTCAAAAGAGGTTCACAACACTGGATTCCCACACAGTCAACCGTGGCTCAAGCTCCAGACCCAGCAGCTTAAAACTCATGCCAGGCGCATGTGCGTGCGTGCCGAAGATCCTGAGAGGAGAAGGGATTGTGGCATGGCCATCCCCCCTGGGGGTTGATTTCTCACTTTCTGTCTCTCAGGTGAATGCATGAGCCCTCTAGGAAAAATCTGTTAAAAACCAAATAAATAAATAAAAATTTAAGAAAAGAGGCTCACAATTCCCAAGGTGATTAGAAGCCATTAAGGGTGCTCCTTCTATAGAAGCGTGAATGCTTGTTGGTGAACTGTTTCCTCTTCATATCTAAATGTGAGTCTAGTTATGCTGGGGCTCGACCAAATAAAATCAAAACGAGTATTAACACTAGATAATATGTACGGAGTGCCATTTATGTGGCAAGCAGTTTTAATTCTCCTTACACTCAGTGAAACCTCTCAACCGTCTGAGGTAGATACACTCTTAACAGGAGAACAGTGAAACAAAGAAAAGGGCAAACACTTGCCCAAAGTGTCACTGACACACACAGAAGCTACAAGAAAAACCCCCAGTGCTAGGTAACTGCACGCTACCCTTTCAGAACTATGGGCAAGCTCACGCTTTTCTGAAGATGAGTTTAAACTGGCCATTATGAAGAGTGCCAGCAGCAGCAAGGCTTTTCATAAGCACATCTACCTGCAGAACGACATACCGGGTACTGGATACAGAAGAGCCCAAGATTTAGCTGCTTATGAAAGGCATTGGAATCCACTGAAGACAGGTTATGCAGAACAATCAAAACAGGACAAACAATATGCTCCTGAATATGTAAGGGTGTCGTCATCTTCACTGTAATCGGTCTTACTAGGGAATTCTTATGTTTGCAGAAAAACTATGATGGGCAGTAACAATATTCTGATGCTTTACTTTCCTTTTGATAAAAAACCCATGTTTTTATATTGCTTTATGAGGAAGTTTTACAAAGTAGGGGAATTAAGGGAAGTGTGTTCCATTCCCCACGTATGTCCTACTGTCATCTCTGTCAAGAGGCCACAGGGCATGGGGCACTGGAGCTGGGGATGGGGTGGGCAGGCCAGTAAGCAGCAGCTGGGAGGGGTGTGAAAGGGGGTTTGACATGATGGGCCAACTGCCAGAGGAAGAGCCCAGGAGAGAAGGGAGATAATACTCAGAACAGAAGAGGGTGATCTCTGAGCAGCGGGGAGAAGTGGATGCCGTCTCTAACAGGGATTCAGCAGCAAGTGAGGAGGCAAAGATTATTCTAAAATGTCAAATATCATTTCCTGGAGCACAGTGACTGAAATAAAGGGAGAAATAAAAGAATACCTGGTTTCGTACACAAAATGATAGCTCTGAGTTCTGGTGCGAAGGGAAGGATTTTCGTAGCTCCAATAGTGTTTGAGGACCTCATCATTTCTTACCTCCTGATACACATCTCCTGGCAACCTCCCAAAGGATGAGTCCAAAACTGTACATGTCGGCCATGATGTACGACTGGAAGTGATTTCTGTTCAAGCTCTCGTCCAACACTTCTGGGGGCATGTAGCGCTTGGTGCCAACGCGAGTGTTGGGTGGAATGTCTACTTCATTTGTGTCGCTGTTGACAAAGTGAAGTGAAGCACTGTTAGCACTAAGCAGGACCACAAGGGACCAGCAGATGCCATAATATTTACATCACTGGACTCCCACGTCATCGACTGTGGTTCGAGTCCCGGATCTGGTGGCTTAAACTCATGCCAGGTGCATGTGTGTAGTTGCCAAAGATCCCAAGAGGAGAATGGAGGAGAAGGGACTGCAGCATGGCCATTGCCCTGGTGGTGGTAGTGGTGGGGGGGTGACTTCTCACTTTCTATCTTTCTGGTAAGCACACATGCTCTATAGCAAAAATCTCTCTTAAAAAATAAAATAGGATCAAAAAATGACAGACACAAAGAGGTGATTCTTAAACAAGGGCTTCAGTGAAAACAAAAATAAGGAAGGAAAACCTTCCAGGGAATAAAAGCATTTCCTTGAAAAACACTTCCTGCCAAAAGTTACATTAATATTAAATATTCACAGGTAAAAACCCAATGAAGAGAAACTCAGTTGGAGGGAAGCTGTAACATAAAACTGCATTATCACGAGACCAGATTTAAACCCTAAACAGCTACTAAATATCCACTATATGTATATATCCAACATCTGCCTTTAGTCCCTTCACATTGTAATAACTTTGCTCTTAAAACTGGCAGGCACACATGCCACTCTGGCTTGCTTGAGACAGCATTTTTTAAGTGAGGTGGTGGGGGCTCTGAGATCTACAAACCAGTACGTAGCAGGAGAAGAAAGGACCCACAAAGACTCGCTAATGTTCGACTCTGACAAGGACAGATGTACAAAATGCTTTTCTCTATCACCACTGCTGCATGAACCAAATAGCCTTTAGTTTCAATAAAAGGAAGAAAGGAATAATGGGAATATAATATCTCGAGCTTTATAAAAATTTCACAACGTGGTCAATTTATTATTACTTCCCGCAGACAGGGAGAAAATTAATGACGGCGGGACACTGGTCTGCAGACGCACATGGGAGATTGCCTCGGGTTAGCGACTGGAGCCAGAGTTCTGAGCCCACGTTGTGAAGCTGCTCAACCACTAGGCAGATGAGTAAGTTAGGTGAAATGTGTAAAATCCCTGTTAACACATTAAAAGGCACAGGTTAGATGCTTAGCAAGAAAGCAAAGAACCTAAGAATACCACCACCCCAGGGTTCACACGTGAAACTGTAAAACGGAAGTGGTAACCAAATGTGTTATTAAATCGGACACTGCGGAAAGTCTCACAGAAGCCTTCCTATCTCTTGATTCCTACGAAAGCATCTTGAGAGCAGCAGATGGCGTAACAGTAATGACACGGGACTCCCAGGTAGTCAGCCATGCTTTGAGTCTGGACCCAGTGGCTTAAACCTCAGGCCAGGCGCATGTGTGTGCATGCCCAAAATCCTGAGAGGAAAATGGAAGAGAAGGGATTGCAGTGTGGCCATCCCTGCTGGGGGGTGATTTCTTGCTTTCTGTCTCTCTCTGTGTCTCCGGTGAACACGTGTGCCCTATAGCAAAAATCTCTGTTAAAGAAAAGTGTTTTATTTGGCCTTTTCATCACATCCCACTGACCTGAAGCATTTATATGCTATTTCTTCTCAACGTGGAAAACAGATTTGTGCATGTGTATCAAATACTAAATTGCTGACACCGTGTCTTGGACAATCAATACCAAATTTCTCAAAACTCTAGTGGCTTTTAGAAAAACAAAACAAAACAAAACAACCCTCTGGGTTTGATCTTATTGTCTCAATGTCTTCTAAAACATAAAATAGAGTGTCATTTCAAAAACTCTGAAGTGTGGTAGATGTCCCTGTGTACATCTGAAAAGGGTTTTATGTTTACTAAAACATAAACTTCATCCTCAAAACATTTTAAAAATTCATTTCCATCTAAAATCCTTAATCCGAATCTATTTCAGCAGAATTGTCATTAGTGAACTCGGGAGACCCTTCCTGGTCTTCCAGCAGCCAACAACTAGGCTATTTTCCTAAAATAGAGTTCAAATGTAAATTTTTAAAAATGAAAGCTCTTAACAGCTGGTTTTCCTTACCATCTGCAAACGTAGGTCCTAGTGCTCTGAGCTCTTTTCTGAGACTAGGAAGAGAGGACCACACGTGAGTTCTCTGTATTTCTGAGCATGATGCCACAGAAAAACATCCTCTGCTGGTGGACCTACGTAGGAAGCGGCGAGGGAGAAAGTGCCGAGAAGAGCTTCATGATAACCTGGAAGGGTGTCAGGTGTCTGAGATGCTGCAAAGCGCCCTTCAGCTACAGAGAAGAGCTCCTCCTCCATCCAACTCCCCCACTGACGCCTCTCACGAGTGTGGCATGGCTCTTTCATTTGTGAGCCTGTGTGTGCAATAGTTTAAGATCTGTAATCATTAGAGGGAGACAGTGATGGCCCCAGGTAAGGCGTACTAGGTTCAAAGTCAATAAAGCAAACACGGGCTTGTGAATGGAAAGAAGATGGACGAGGGCCTAAATAATATTCCAGAACATGAACTAGGGAACACAGGAACAGTCTTAAGAGAGGTCCCACAGGAGCACATTTAAAAAAGCCAAAGATAGGGAACCAGCAGTTAGCGTAATGGCTATGTCGCTGGACTCCCACGTAGGCGACCGCAGTTCGCGTCCCGGACCCAGTGGCTTAAAACCCACGCTGGGCTCGTGTGCGTGCGTAGCCAAGATCCCAAAGGAGAATGGAGGAGAAGGGATTGTGGTGTGGCCATCCCCTCTGGGGGGTGATTTCTCGCTTTCTGTCTCTCTGTCTGTCTGGCGAGCACATGCGCCCTATAGTGAAAAACCTCTCTCAAAAAAAAAAAAGGCCAAAGATAGACTCTGACCATGGCTGAAAAAGCCTGTAGGCAAATCCATTCCACTCCATCAAGACACACGAGCATCGATGTGGATTTGGATTGGGGCGGTCAGGAAGAGATCGAGGGAAATATGAATGGGAGACATGCCCGGGGCACTGAAAGATCGGCGTTACCTAATGATGGGGTAAAGAGCTGTGACAGTGGGACCACAAACAGCCTCCAAATATTCTCCCCTTCGAATGCTGCAAAAACAGTGGAGGACTTGGAATGCCCATCAAATGTCAAAAATCCGTTCCATATAGCGGCCCTGCATGCTCAGGTGCTTCGCTCTCCCCACTTGTCACATTCTTGGTGTTTCCCCTGGTAACGTTTGGATAGATATCCTCCCTGGTAGTATTTTCTTTTCTTCTCTTTTCTCTTTTTTCTTTCTTTCTTTTTTTTTCTTTTAAGGTTTTTGCTATAGGTGCATGTGTTCACCAGAGACAGACAGACAGAGACAGTGAGAAGGAAAGTATGACATCACCCTCCACCCCAGGGAATATGGCTATACCAAATCTTTTTTCCTCTATTTTCCTCCTGGAATTATAAGTATGCACACACACACGCACAGAGTGATTTTCAAGTTGCCAGGTCTGGGACTTGAACCAGTCAGCTGTGTGGGAGTCTAGTGCCTTAGCTAGCATGCCACCTGCTGGCCCCTCCCTGGTATTATTTTAATAAGTAACAGTCTCCCCATTTAAAATTGTAAACTCCTCTTAACTGGAATATCTGTCAATCATTTGATATGTTCCTGAGGGAGTACACCCATAATCCAGCTCCATTCACTATGTGCCCTGCATATCAGAATATTATTTGGGGGTTGGCAGGTGGTATGGTGGTTAAAGGTGCTGGATTCCCACATGGCTGACCATAGTTCGAGTCCCAAATCTGGTGGCTTGCTTTCTTGCTTTCCTTTCCTCTTTCTCTCTCTGGTCAAATTAAAAAATAAAAATAACAAATGGAATTCATTGATAAATAAATAATTATTTTTAAAAAGAATATTATGTACTTTGAATGAAATAAAGAAAAGACCTATTTACAATAAACTTTGCTTTGAGTACATGGACATGTAAAAATCTCTACAACTTATAAGCCATATCGTGAGATTATTGATATCTAGGAAGCTAAATAGAATTTTGTCACAAAAGTAAAAGTTTACTATTAATCTAACGGCAAATGCCTTTAGCAATGCATTTAAATAATTAAACATGTTAATTATATGTCATTTATATCTGTATATGAAATATGAAGATGAGATTCAATCAGAATGAAGTTGCAATATATAAAGGCATACAGATCAAACTTAAACTCTAAAACAACGGCTACTTATGAAATGTCTAAAGACCACCACCCTCCCCAGCTTCGCTCTTAAAGTTGGCATGTACATTACACAGCATTGGAACCTCCACGGCATACGACTCTCGTCCTCGCCAGCCATTCCTGTACTTGAAGGTACCTGAACTACGTCTCTTTCTTAGGGCTGTAGGATCATTCACCTGTTCCCAATAATGGCAGAGAAACATTGAGCTTGTATTAACCTTCCAGGCCCAAATCAGAATTTAAAGTGATTTAACACTGGGGCACCAAGGATAGAGAGAAGCAGTAGAGTCAGATGCTGCAGTGCACGTGGGACCAGGGTACAGAGCCGCAGCAGGAACGGGTCAGGCGAAGGGGATGCAGGAGAGGCCAGGTGCACCCACCTGCTCCAGCTTCACTTTCTAAGGTGAGGTGTGGAGGACCGAGAAAGAGTTAGCAGGAAAAACAAACAGAAACTGTGCAAGAGGTGTGCACAGTTGAAGAAAACCCCAGAATACATCGATCCTACGTACTGCAGTAGCTACACACACGGAACTGGAGTACACAATTCTACAGAAAACATACATAGGAGGGGCCGGCAGGTGGCATCATGGTTAAGGGTGCTGGGCTCCCATATAGCTGTCTGCAGTTCGAATCCCAGACCTGGCAGCCTCCTTTTTCACTTTCCCTCTTTCTCTCTCCTTTCCCTCTCTGGTCACATTAAAAATAAATAAATAATTCTTTTTTTTAAAAAAATGAAATTAAGAAAACATAAATAGGATACTGCTTATTTCTGTGTGCATAAAAAAGAAAATAAGAAAGGGAATGAAACAGGGCTATCATCAACATTTCACTTCTCTTAAAAA